CCCCAAAACCCCAAAACCCCAAAACCCCAAAACCCCAAAACCCCTCTTCAATTTAAATTAATTGATATTTGACAAAATTATATTATTCCTGTGTCTAAATTAGTTCCTCTATTTAGCCTTTTTAACTCTGCCATTTAGCTGTGAGGTTGTCTTAAATTTTAAGTTACCAGACTTGAGCAGCTGGTTCTTGTTCAGAATGGAGTTTGACTCTAGATTAGCTGAAATTATGACTGATGCTTACACATCCCGCCACCTGATTTTCTCCCGGTGGTATCGTTAGTTTGAGTGAGATCTCTGAAATAATGAGATAGTGAAAATACCTGCTATTGCTGTCTTCTACGAGGTATAATTTGTACTTCTGCCTCTTTTTCCCTTGGTGATGGATTTTCTGAACCTTGAGCACTGAGAGTTCATTAATTTTCTCCTAAATGTTAGACTCATTTGAGTACCTTTTTCGCAATTTTGGGGGAATCTATTATTGAAGCTTCACTGCTCTCTTTTGAATGCATATTGTGAGAATTATTATTGAAGTTCTCATGACTTTGTTTGTACAAAATTCCTTCTATTTATGATGATATCCACTTACTGAAGTCAACTTTTGGAATGTTTCCTTTAGAGCCATGAGTAGTAAGTTTGCCTTTCCGATGGCTATTCATTTCAAATCTTTTTGAAGAATTCTGGGCATTATTAGAGAACCCGCTAACAAAGTTCTGCTTTTCAGGTAGACTTTTCATGTTGTTTCCACCCATGCCACCTTTGGCATTCCTGCTCTTGAAGCCTTTCTTTTTGGAGTATTTAGAGAGCTTTATTTCCTTCTTTATTTTGTTCATGCGAGGCTCTTTGAATTTCCTTCTCGGCTTCATTTTTGAATTGGAGATTTCTGATGGCTCTTCGAGCTTGTGCATCCTATGTGCCTGTGTGTTGTAATAGATCCGTGCTTGTTGCAGCATTGGTGGGTGCTTGGAAGAGTTTCTGGTCCTCTGCTTCAGCTTGAGCTCTGTACTTTTGAGGATCTCATCTTCTCACCTCATCTTAATCATCGATTTTTCGTCTCCTGTGTATGAAGAGTTTATATAATTATCTTCTCCAGAGCTAAATTATGAGGGAAATGGCTTACTTATCATTGTATTCCTCCATTCTTTTGGATTTAATAGAGATGTTGGTCTCTTGGATTGGCCTCTGGCTACTCTCAATAATCTCTTCATCTTGGCACTGAGAGATTTCTGTAACTAACTGAACCTTCTGCTCTTCCTGGTCAAAGCTGGTCTGGCCCAAACTTTCATTATTTCCGAGGTGTTTTTCAAGTTTTTTAAGCCCTGAATGCTCCTCAATATCACTAATGTCATTCACAGAAGAGTTGGAGCTGAGGAATTGTGAGTCCATGATCTCATCATCCTCACATTGAGGAGTTGGATTGAGTTTTTGCTCAAATATATAGCTCTTCTCTTCTTTGTCATCTGTTGTGGTTGGATTTAGAGGAGGTTTTCGGTCCTTATTTATCAACAAGCTTGATTCTACATCCGCTCCCGTGAAGGTACTTGATTTATAATCCTCGTTTCTATACATTATAAGACTATGAATTTAAGAGGTAATACCTGAATTCATTATTCTTGAGAGGGAAAGTAGCCTCAGAACTTCGATCTGCGAGAGAGTTGAACTCAGGAGATTTACCAGATCGAGAAAAAGCATTATTCCTGGCCTCCTCCCTCTTTTTCTGAGCGATTTTCTTGATCATCGACTCGAAAAGAACACCTTTATGATGCCCTCTAGCCTTTTTCCTTCTATTTTCTTGGTTTTTGTGGTCTCTGATGACCTTCTTAATCTTGCTTTTCTTCTGCTTGATCTCTGAAGATGACAATTTAGACTCCTTCCTCTTGTTATTTTTTAAATCAAGTTTTTGTGACTTTTGGTGTTGTGCATTTTTCGAATTATGAACAAGGCTCTCTTTCGAAACAATGTGATACACGTTGTTCTCCTCATCCTTAGTGATCACAATGTTGGACTCCCTCGGCTTGTTAGAATTCCTGGATTTGATCCTACTAGAAGACTTTCATGTTTTGGTTTTGAAGTTTCTTTTGGATAGTTTTGGGTCAAATCCCTGCATCCTATATTCAAAATTATCAATTCAGCTCCAAGCAGGTGCCAAGTTACCCTTTTGAGGCAGGATACAGTCCTATTTTAGGAGTTATTGATGAGGACTGATTCGGGTATTTTCTAAACTCTGTTCTCATGTCTTCGTGGTAGAAATTCGCCTGAAACTTTTTGATATCACCGTCAGTTCTTGTGCTGTGTTTCCGATCTGAAAAAGCGTCCTAAGTAATATTATCAAGTTCACATACTTGCAAAACTAGACTTTTGAGGCTTTGCCCAACCGAGGCTGAGGTACTTGAGGGACTTGCGTCTTTCAACTCTCATTGAGGGAGTTTTCAGGGACTCCCATACAGTTCAGGTCGACATCAATTTTTAAATTTCTTTCCTTATTCTGGTTCTTGAAATAAGCAGTTGTGTAGTTCTGCAAACGAGAGCTTTGACTTTTCTGCTGGTCAGTGAGATAAGTAGGAGTCTTCTTAAATGCCTTCATGTTCTCAGTCTGTATAAATGGTGGTTGATCCTCAATATACCCATTTGGCTGTGCCTGAACCCGCGAACACATATTCATAGGCTCAATTGGGTCTAGTGAGGCTGGAGACCCATCATTATCGGGGTAGTGTGAGTGATAAGAAGCGTTTGATTTCCCTGGAGATATATGCTTCTGGTCTCTACCTGTGGTCCTTCTTTGAGGATTTTCTTTATCATCGTACTTGAGATATGGCTTTATTAAGAATTTATCTCTCTGGATAAAATTAGTCCTGACTGAAGAGCAAATTTTTATTGCCGGTCTGCTATTTGTTCTATCTTCTTGCTTCTCTGATCATACATTGAATTTACAGAGTCTGGAGAGTCTGGCTGTTTTTCGTCAAAACTATCTCAGAGTAAATTCTGCATCGAAAGATCTTCATTTAGAGCTCCCTGCCTTGGCTGGTTCTTAGACTTGACAATGAAGGTTTGATTTGAGAAATAGTTATTAATTCTTCCCCCACTAAGCTCAGTGCCGTCTTCTCTACCCATGTTTGCTCGCTTATGGGAGTTACCCTTGGCAATGTTCAGATTGATGCCTCTGCTAGGATCATAAGCATGGTACTTTAAAGTCGGGTTACTCTTATCCTTTTTGAGGTAACTTCCTGAATCATTATTTTTATTCATTGATTTTTCTCTCTTCATGGACAAGAATTGCATGGAGTCGTAAATAGCACTGGAACCTTCCTTGGGCTGTCCAAGCTGGCAATATTCATCTTTCGCTACTGAATCCTGGTATTTCAAAAAGTTTGATTTCATATTTCCGTACGAACATTGACTATCGACTGTCCGGTATTGTGGAATTTTAGCACCAAAATTTGCCTTCTGATGAGTCTCTTGTCTATAATTTTAGCTAAAAATACTTACTGAAGGAGACTACTAAACTCTTTGGCAGATTCTCGACGGAAATCCTTGTTAATATGCTTATTATTGTTATCATAGAATTTGGAGTAGACAAAATCACTCTGCCTCTCTTCGCTCTCAACTTGTTGGTAATTTCTTTGATGTCTGGCTGTTTCATGAATATTTGTGAAAAAGAGAGGCTTGGAGACCTGTTCATGTGTATTTGTTTGGGGCAAGAAATACCCCATATTCCTCGATCTTAGTTCATTCCGCTTCATTTTTGATACTAATTAATATTCAATATACTTTAAATATTAAGGGGTTTTGGGGTTTTGGGGTTTTGGGGTTTTGGGGTTTTG